TATACAATATTTGTTATTAATCAACATGGTCATGAACCATTTAATAGAGGTTCTTTGTTCAATGTAGGTTATATCGAAGCAATGAAATTTTATTCGTTTGATTGTTTTATTTTTCATGATGTGGATCTTTTTCCAGAAGATTTAAGAAACATTTATAAATGTGGAGACAGACCAAGACATTTGTAAGTAAAATAAATCAACATGCAACTTTTTTTATGAACATTTGTTTAATCGATCTAACCACTTCAATCGATATTTTTTCTTTCACTCTTACAAAGGAAGTTTTTCAACTGATCAAGCGCTTTTCAGTCGAGGTTATGTGCCTCGTGTGGACCGTAATGAGTTATGAATATCGTGGAAAGAGTTCGGATTCCTAGACTATTGCTTTCGAAATACTACATCTTTAAAGAATTTTAAAAAAATCAAATCCATGATACTTTCACAAAGAAAGTCTCCTGAGTGATAAATCGCTTTCGAGTTGGGACTACATGCATGCTGTAGAAACAAATGAGCTATGAATACTGCGAAAATAGTTCAAATCTTTAGCTTATTGCTGCCGAGATATTGAACTTTAACGGTAGTTTTTCAATGTATGTTATGGAGCCCCTCTGGAACATCAGAAAAACTGATTTTCGAATTTCGACTTGGAATTTTTTACAGCGATAAGTTTTCAACAAAATGGTTTGCTATAAAAATGTTAGATATTTTGATTTATTTTTCTTCTGAAATAAGAACATCAAATCTATCGTTATATATGAGCGATGTAAACGACACACTGTTACCATAACTTTATCTTAAGATAGAAACAAAGACAAGATCTGAAACATTCACAAGAAACTAGACTCTCTAAAGATTATCTCTCTGCAAAGTTTCAAGTCGAAATTTGAAAATTTGTTTTCCCCAGTGTTCCTGAAGATGACCACACCATTCATTTAAAAAAGTGCAGTATCTCGGCAGCAAAAAGCTAAGGGTTTGATCTATTTCCAGGGTATTCATAGCACATTTACTTCTACATAATACATATAGTCTCGACTCACAAGCGATCTATCATTTGCGAGGCTTCTCTCATCTAGAATACAATAAAACTAATTTTCGAATTTCGACTTGAAATGTCATACAATGATAGATCTTAAACAGAATAGTTCGTTGTGAAAATGCTAGATCTTGTGATTTACTTCTATCCTAAAATAAAAACATCGAATCTACTAGTGTATACGAAAAATGTGAAAGGCATGTTTGTATGATTGTCGTATCTTAAGATAAGTACGATGAAAAGATCTAAAACTTTTACAATAAATTATTCTGTTTAAGAGCTATCACTGTTCAGAATTTCAGGTCAAAATTCGAAAATCTTTTTTTTAATGTTCTTGATGGGGTCACGACTTTGATTTATAAACTACCGTAAAAATGCAGTATTTCTACAGTAATGAGTTAATAGCATAAATTCTTTTCATGGTATTCATAACTCATTTACGTTCTACATTATACACATTATTTCGACACAAAAACAATTAATCATTTGGAGAATTTTCTTCGTGAGTTGCTACATACATGATCATAGCATAGCTGAATTCAGATGAAACTTAAAATCGACTGAAATGAATTATAAAAAATTTATGTATAGTCCATTAGCAATCAATCTCGTCAATCTCCTAGGGACTCTCTAATGAAAAAGTTCTACCTTTTTGTATTTTGAGAAATCGAAGTCTATGAAAAACTAAAGCCAAATATAGTTCTACTAAAACAATAGTTTTCAATGTTGACGGAAAGCAATCGTTTATTCATAGATCGAATCGATTTATTTGATTGAATAAAATCTCTTATGTTGCAGGGCAGTTGCTATGGATAAAAACCAGTATCGTTTATTCCATTCAATGTACTTCGGTGGTGCAACAGCTTTTTGTATACCCGATCTCCTTGATTGTAATGGTCATCCAACAATTTATTGGGGTTGGGGTGGTGAAGATAATGATATGATTTATCGTGTTGTTAAAAAATTGAACAAAACAATTGTACGTTATCCCGATGAAATAGCACGTTATAAAATGGTTCGTACATTTAATCATACAGCAGCTAAACCTAATCCTGATAGATGGAAAATACTTGCTTCAAATTATAATTATAGTCTTGATGGCTTAAATACAATGAATTATACATTACATAATATACTTTTTTATAAATTATTTACATTAATTAATGTTACATTACCACAAGAACCACGTGAACAGATATTGAAGCGTCTAAATATTAAAATCAGATAGAAAAAAAAGAAATGAAACTTCATAAAAAGACAATATTAATCTGTGACTCTTGTTAGTTGAAAATTAGAATTTGTTTGCTTTGTTTTTGTTCTTTAGTTTCTTTTTTAAACAAGTGAATTAGTATATTTATTCATGCTTTTATTTTTTTCTTTATTAATAAAAAACATATAATCATTAACAACTAAATGGATAATAATAACAATAATAATACTGATGATGATATTGTTTTTCAAGAAGATATATATAGAGAGAAAATAAACAACAACCAAGAGGAGAAGATCAAAGAGGAACAGCCAAGCGGATCAGAAAACTCAATAATAATGAGAGTGGAAAGCTTATCATTATAGGATGATATCTGTTGCTAGTAACGCCTTCTCCGTTTAACTCAAAGTGTTTGACTGAGGCACCTGTCCATCCAAGGGGGAAAAAGCGTATTTCTATGTATTTCTGGATTTCAGAAATACTTAGAAATACCTGGAAATATCAAGAAATACAAAGAAATACTCATAAATATTTGGAAATACACAGAAGTACCTGGAAACACATAGAAATACATAAATTTTAGCTTGGCTTACTTCTTCCAAATTTTAAGTTTTTACTCTATTTTAGTTAGTTTTTCGACTCATTAGTAGACAAAATAATGTTTATCACCAAATATGATAGTGAAAAAATTTATTCAGGTCCATCTATAAAAGACATCAAGGTGAAAACCACATTTTTGATGCCTGTTTCCCACCCCATTTTCTGGACGTCCGGTATAAAAAAAAGATTTTAGAAAGCATCTGCTTGTTCCAATGTATTGAGTAAGCCAGTTTAGCGTACAGGTCAATCCTGAAATGGTTGAGGCAAATATTGGATCCGAGATCGAGGTATCTAAAGTCATTTTGCGGAAAAAGTTTGTCAGAAGATTTGAATCAGTTTTCAGAGGAGTTTCAAGCTTGAATTGTTATTCATGCACCATGAAAAGGCAATGGCGTTTCAATTACTATAAACGCTGGTTGATGAATCAAGAAATTCTCTGAACAGTGAGGAGTAGTGCTATGTGGAAGAATAACTTCTATAGAAAGCTCTTCATCACAAATGGAAACAGAACTCAGTTGGTCAAGTGATCACTGACTTCATTGAAATACCATTGTTTTATG